CCTCCCTGCTCCATTGGACCTGCAGCAAAAACAAAGGAGGGAGGCTCAGCCCCTGCAATTTCCCAGACCCCCCCAGGGCCACTGCTAGGGATGGGTCCTGCTTTCTCCTGGAAGGAGCCACTGAGTCCATAGCCACACTCCTGGCCCCAGCACAGCAGCGAGGCAGAGGAAGGCAGGCGAGGAAGGCTGGGAGCAGGCAGGGCTGAGCATAGCCCAGGACAGAGCCAGGGGCCGCAGCGCCTGGCTGCCACACCACAGCTATTAGTGGCATCCCTGGCGTCCCCCTCGCTTAGCTCCTCCAGCAGCCACGCACGGTGGTTTCCTGTTTTGCAGGGAGCAAGGCGAGCTGCTACCAGCAGCACTGGCCTCCCAGCACCACTGGAGAGCCAAGACCTTCTCCAGAGCTAGCCCACAGCACCCACAGCCAAACGGGTCCTGGGGATGCTGGGTGGGGGCAAGAAGAAAGGTGCCCCCCCCACCACCCCCCCGGCTCTGCAGAGCAGCAAGGGCTCTGAACTGTCACAAAGCCAAAAGCAACAACAGCACCCGCTGCCTGGGTGGGCTTTAGCTCTGATCCTACAGGAGCCTAGGTCAGCCCCTGCCAGCTCCCCAGCCAAGGCTGGGTACTGGGGTGGCCCTGTCTGCACCCCATCCCCGGCAGAATATCTCAGCCCAGCTCATTTTGGCTGTGAGAGCAGGGTGTCCAGTCTGGGTGCCTGCATGCAGGCTGGTCCGAGGCATAGAGCCCCAGAGCCTGGGGGGGAGCAAGGGCTTTACAGCGAGGTCCTCCATTACCCCACAAGCACGGCCACCATGGACACCCTCTCCTTCCTCCTCTGGCCCGGGAGCTTCCCCCTCTCCAGATATCAAAGCAGCAGCAGCCTTGTGCCAGGCTGGCACGGAGCAGCCCCCTGCTAACACCTTTGAGTGGCACAAGGGAGGGAGAAAACCTGCGGCTCCCCCGGCCCCAAGCACAGCTCAGACAGACGAGGCAGGCACAAGGGTCCAGGCACAGTGCCCGGCTGGCACAGCACCCCAGGGTGCTGCCGCACGGCCCTGCCCTCCGCCCCAGCTCCTCCAGGAACACGCTTGCTCTGCAGCGGGGAGGGAGGAACCCTCCACAAGCCAAGCGCAGTTTATGTTTCCCATATGGAAACAATCTGCATCCAAGAACAGCTTTGTTTATAGCGAGCCATTTATAAACTTCCCCAAACACTCTGCACATCAAAAGCCCTGCTCATGTCACTCCCTGGTAAGGCAGCTCAAAGAGCATCCAAGCTGGAGCACCCTTCAGGAAAGGCAGCTGAGAACAATTTATCTCTTCTTTTCTTCTAGGGACAAAAAGCTCACACGCCAAGGGACTGAATATTCCCTACTGCTCAGCCCCTCAGCATCCCACTGCTCCTAACCTCAGCCCCTCTAAAGGTTACGTTGCCCCCCTTGATTTTCTCTATAGGTTATTATTTAAGATATGTCACCTATTTAACTGTTTCAGCTGCCACAATGCCAAAGTGGTCTCACTTTGTTGGAGAACCATTGCAAGACAAACATCTCCATCAAATCAAAAGATGCTGAACATGCACATCCCGCCACCATGCCACCACCCCTTGGAGCTGCCCCAGGACTCCCCCAGGCTGGGGCCATGCTCACAGGGGCAGCAGTGGAGAGGAGACTTACCCGAGTGTCCTGCAGCTGCGAGCGCCGAGCAAGCACAGCTCTGTGCTGGCAAGAGAGCCGAGTGTGGTTCATGCTTCCCCTCCCAGTATATAACCCGTCCAAATCAATGAATCAGCACAGGGGCAGCGTCAGGGTTAGGGAAAGCGCTGGAGCAGAGCTGCTTCCAACTCTTATTTCCTCGGCAAACACAGCAATCGTCTCAAGGATGGAGTTTTGGATTTCCCTCTCCTGAACCCCAGAGCTCTTGTTTGAAGAGAAGCAGCAGGCCCCACGAACACGCTGCTCCCATCAGCCAGTACCCAGGTACCAGCTCAGCCCCAGAGCCACCCTGCTGCCCGGTGGGACACGGCTGGGTGCCCTGACCCGTGCGGGCAGGTGAGGCAAAGCCAGGCCCCCAGGCACGATCCTGCCATTCGCTAGCACACATTCACACCAGGGTCAATCCACAGCATCACCTTGCTGCATGCACAGCACCTGCCTCCCCAGCTACAGCCCCTGCAAGTGCCAGGATTGCCAGCCGTGCCCCCAGCCCAGGGCTGGCAGCGCAGGCTGCCCACCAGCATGCTGACCCTGCCCAGGGTCACAGCTCTTGTTCATGTCCCCTGACAGGAGATGTGAACCAGCCGGCAACCCCGGGTCGGGGTTCTGCCCTGCAGGCACCTTGTCCAGCCCAGCCAGGCACCAGGCAGGGGTCAGCAGCCTTGCTGGTGCCAGCCAGCAGCCAGGCAGCTTCAGAGAGCTGTTGGCACCCAGAGCATCTCCCACCAGCACTGCCCTGCCTGCAGGCACTGAGAAACCCCCTTGATGCCAAGTGCAGGCAGTGGCACATGCTGCCACCTCCCAGGGGCTGCTCCGCAGCCCTGGCATGTGGGTGATGGAGCTTCGGGAAGTGGGGCATGAGCCCATCCCATCCACTTGTTCAGGGGCACCTGCTCCCTCCAGCCCACATGGGTGCATGGGGGTGCCCTTGGTCCCCACCACCCCACCTGGTCACCCCATCGCCCACCTCTCCTGGGCAGCCCTGGTCCAGCAGCCGACAGGAACGGATATTTGGGAGGAAGTCGCTAAGGAGAGCTAGGATGCGTGGCCTCTTTGGGCTTCCTGGAACCGCAGCAGCCCCGTGCTAACCACGGGGCAGCTGGAATTTCCCTGACCACATCTAATCCCGTCTCAGCCCACCCATATTTCCGCCAGCAACTGCAGCCCCTGCTCAGGTCCCAGCTGGCGGTAACAAGCTGCTTGAGACTGGAACAGCACAGGGCTGCGACCAGGCTGGGGGGGGAA